TCCTGTTTTACCTTTTTCCTCAAGCTATTTAACCTGAGAATTTTTTTTTTTTTATTAATTGACTTCAAGTGATTTTCTTGCTTTCGTTATTTATCATTGTGCTTAAGCTATCCTGTCCTAGATTATTTTCCTCTTTACCTTGAGTAGAAGTAATGTCTGATATGCCACATGTTGATCTTGAAATTTCTGGAGAAAAGTCTACAGTAACACAGCCCTCTTCACTCTCTATTATGCCTCGTAATTCAGAGACCACCTGAAATTATGTGGCAATGGCATGTTGACAATGTATAACCATAAAATTGCAGCACAGGTGCTGTGAGGTAGAAATATAAAAGCAAGACCATTTTATTTTTTTTGGGAATGAACCGAATCAGGTAAAATCTTAGACCATATCTTTATTTGGATAGGTTTGTGAGCATTGAGCACCTGAACCATGTACTATCTCTTGTTCATTAATTCGTACAAATTTGTATCTTTAATTTAATGAAGCACCAATATCATTTTTCATTCACAGAGCATCCTTGTTTATGAACCTGGGATATGTCTATATTATGGTTAACATTTATCTGAAATGCATCCTCTTGGTAATTCAAAATGTTCTCAGTTAGGATAAACAAAGTAATTTTTGAGCCCTTTGTCAATAGTTTAAGCTTTTAAGTGAGATTTAAGATTATATTTGTGCCTTGGTAATCTTATAATTTCTTTTTTTATTTACAATCTTCAGACCTTATAATTTAAAGTCAGTTTTAAGTAATTGAGCATTCAATAACAAACCATAGTGTTCTTATACATCTAGTAACTCACTGCCAACAGTTAATACTACAGTACATGCAACTTGTTTTCTTCCTTCAATTTCACTTCATGATTGACATAAGTTTAATCATGGACACATACCATATTCATTGCTTAATCTTTCCTTTGGATTCTTTTTGAGACATTTTTCTGTTACTTGGGCCAACCAGTGAAGTTGTTCTTCTTCGTAGGAGGTTCCAATTGCAGGATCCACCAATTGCGGATACTTCTTTGTTCCAAGAAGAGGCTTTGCCTGAAACATAAAATGAAAGAAAATAATAAAATACAGTATGTTTTACATAAGCACAAGGTCAACAGAAAAGGTGCAGAGAAAAGTTGTATGGCATTGTGCAATGATTTAGGTCATTAGATGCTTATAACTAGAGATTAATGCCAAAATTTTCAAGGATAACCCTTTTCCATTAATGAAATGGTCTTCTTAGCCTATTGTTGTCCTCTACTAGGCTTTCTATGCCTACTTTATTTTTAGCTCTCTCTCGCTCTCTGTTAATATATAAATATTTGGTATATGGCAATACTAACTAATCTAGATTAGAGTACTGTTTGGCCCTAAACAGAACTACTTGCATCCGGTAATAACATCAAAAGGAATATGGAACATGATTCAAAGCAGAGAGTATTGAGTACTACAGCACGGATATGAAATGGATTGACTTGGGAGAGAGCATCAGAGTTAAAGCTTAAATTTAAGATGTTGCATGACAAAGGAGAACTATTTCCAAGATACCATGGTTTATAGTGCACCAAAATCACAAAAAATTATGTCATCAAAGAAGATTGTTGTCCCTACTGCTACAAGATTTGTGTTTTTGAAAACAGATACAAGAGTTTACATGGGATTAAATAGTATCACAAGAAAACAAGACTGATAATGATCTTTTGAAAAAACAAAATATAGGGTCTTGAGGTCAAACAAGTACTTTTGATATTCTTAGAATTAGAGGACAATGTTGATCACCCTCAAAAATTCAAATTACCAGAAGCTGCTTAGGGTGTGTAATAAAAGTAATGTTGTGTGACTATTACCCATTCAACAAGGTTTTTCTCTCCTGATATTTTGTCTGTAGCCCTCTGACCAGTGATAAGCTCTAAAAGAACCATTCCAAAGGAGTATACATCCGTCTTGGCTGTTAGTTTCCAATTCTCCAAACACTCTGGTGCTGCGTATACCAAACTTTTATCCTTGTGGGACTTTTTTGCTTCACATTTTGCTCTCCCAAGCTGAAATCTCCAAGCTAAGTATATATTCACCATTCAATGTAGAAGTTAGATTGATCTGATGAGAAAATATGGAATCAACAGTAACTTAGACAAATAGGATATGTCTTGGCTTCCAAGTCCAAGTTATTAAGTATGTACCATTGGTTCGAACTCATGGTTTAGAAGAATGTTGCTTGGCTTTATACGTCCATGAATTATGTTATTATCATGTAAGTACTTTAGACCCATGGAGACACCTACAGCTATTTTCACCCTTTTTCCCCAGCTTAATGGCCTGCAACTATTCTCTGCATGATTCAGAAAGTTCCTTTATTGCATCACATTGAAATCTCCACCAAAATTCCTAGGACAGTTATACAGATGCTAAAATTCTACATGCATTATTGGATCATAAGTCTTACTAGATAGATGCTTGTCAAGTGAACCATTGCATGCATACTCATATACAGCTAGTAGCTGACTTTCTTCTATGGAGGAACCCAACAGCATGGCCACATTCTTATGTCTAGCCTTGAGGATCAATTGCACTTGAGACATCATTTGTTTCTCTACTTGGGCATCTGTGAGTCGATGCTGCTTCACCACTATTTTCAGCTGACAATCAAGCTGACCTTTGAAAGTAGATCCACATTCTCCTTCAGAAAGTGAGTTGGTAATTGAAAATTCATCTGTAGCAACTTGAAGTTCGATATATGAGAAGTCCTTTTTCCATCCACTATCTGGCCGTCTACTTTTGCAGACTGAGCAGATAGAGCATTCTGTATTCCCAAAAATGCTCTTCTCTTGCTTTCCATCTGTTTTATCTTCTTGATCATGGCTCAGCAGCTCAGCTTTTGTTCCATCTATGTGTAGATCACCTCCTGTTGCCTGCCTGAAGTGCTGCCCTTCATCATGGATGCTCTTCCATGTCTCTTCTACAACTGTTCTGGGTTCATCAGGTTTTGTCTGACTTGTTTGATTACTGTCAGTAAATGTAAAGTCATCCCCCTTATCTGAGTTTCTTTGCATCTCTTCTTCCATGCTGGGAAGATCCTCTTTTATTTGACCTATCATCGGATCATTCCAAACTGTTATTGTTATGATGCTCAATAACCACTTTGTGAATAACATGCAATGAAACTGAGACAGAGTAAAGCTAACCAGCCAAATTAGAGAGTATTTGGCCAAGGTAAATCCCATAAAAAAATATACCTAGAAAATGACTGAATTGACTAAATAGCTTCAATTTTTTGAGAGTATTTTGCATAAAAAAGATTTAATTTTAATTCTAAGTTTATTCAAAAAAAATCTGAAGCTGATATTTTGGCGGACTGAGATGTAACCTGGTGCTAGAAGTGTTTCAGAGCTTACCAATCTTGGGGTCTTCCACACTGTTATCCTCATCGTCATGACATCCTGGTACAGGACTGATAAATATCTCTGTGGGGAGAACTGGGGGGCCTCTCAAATGTTCAATCCTATTGTTACGCTTCAATCTTGATATACCACAAGAAAGCTCCTGCAGGAAAAACTTCTCATCTTTCTTCATCTGCCTGCGACCCAGGTGCTTTTTATATTAGTATGTTTGTATGATTCATGTGAAAAGAGCTGTTTAGAGATTTGACAAGAGGAACATTAACTATGCAATCGTTTTATAATTCAACAAATCATAATTTGACTTAGATGTTATGAGAAGTAAATTCCAAGTTACAGACATTCTAGAGTCATTACACATCCATCGAATCAATATAAAATCAGTACAATTTTCATGCTTGATCTTAGTCATATGAGAAGCTCAGATACAATATGTTTTTCCTTCTTCTTTTTGCTTAAAGATGGCTACGTTAGAATTATTGTATATCCGGTTTATAGTCCTCAGCTCAAGCCTAACATTTAATGCTTTGGCTTGAATTAGCCAGAATCAATATCTAGGAGCAATTCCCAGAGTGTATCAATACCCTTGACTGTGTAGGTTAGAGTTTCATCTCTCATAATCTTTGCGTTAAAAAAGGTTCTTAACGAGGACATAATTAGCACGGCCAATGAAAATATCAGTTTCTGTTCCTTTGTACTTTCTAGACATTTAAGAAGAAGCAAAAGTTGCCCCAAAAGCTTTCAACTTTCCTTCAAAAGCAATGTTTTGTTTCATGAGATGACTACGAAGGTTGTTTCAATGAGATTATCAGTTTAATTTTGCCTGACCTGTCCAATATCACCCAAGTTGCATTTAGTTCTTTCGCTTTGTCTAAAGCAACCTCCTTAGCTGAAGTTGCCGTGACCAACTCTATCCTGAATTCAACCTGAAATGTTATGCAAAATGTAATAGGCTGCAATATTAGTAAAATATGAGAAGTCCTAGCATTACACAAATATCTGATAGATTCCCAGTTGTGAATAAAACAGATGTATGGTAACATCCTAATGGGAAAATAATATGAATTACGGAATGATTTTTGTCCTCTACACTATCACTTAATATGTTAACTGAAGATAATATCGGTTCTATCTATGTTTTTTTTTTTCATGCTTCACAATTGTATGCTTCACAACCGGAATGTTTTTTTTCATGCTTCACTTAATATGTTAACTGTGCACAAGTAATTTTTAATAAAATAGTAAATTTTTTTCATATGAAAGTTCCTTTAAGCTTGACCAAAGCTCACGTGCATCATATATGCGCTAAAATTTAATGGAAGTTGAAGATGATTGAATTTTTCAATTTGATTACTGGCCCAAAAAACTTTGAAACCATACCAAGGATTACTTCACCTCAAATTTAAATATTCAAATGAAGATTCACGAATAGGTATAATCTTTAACACGTTTTCTCAGACAAGAGCTTTAAAAAAAATCCATTCATTCCTCAACTATTTCTTGTAGATTATTTTCTTCGGATTATGTCATCGATAATAAGTCATTGTCAAGTAAATTCTCAACGAGCTGCTTTTTTTTTTTGGGTATGGTTTTCCAATATCATCCTTTTCAATTGAACATCTATTAACTTTCAACATTTACTTCATTCTTCCTTATGATCATAAAGCAAAAGAAAAGATCTCAACAACTACTGTTAATGTTACCTTCTGTGATTCATACAGTTTAGAAATCTCAAGAAGCTCCTCATTATTTTGGTATTCTTCCATCCTCCTCGCAGCTCGCATCTCTACTGCTTTCTTGTTGGCTCCAACCAGTGATTTGCTGTCCAATGTGCTTAAGTACCCCACTACAAAAGAATTTTGATGGTAAAGGAAGCAGAAAAAGTAGTTTATTCATGTGTCCTTTATATGGTGTTTGGCACGTGGGATTTTAATTTCTCAACTGCCGTGAAACCTATTTGAAAGCTATTCTTGTACAAGATCTATATGAAAAAATTTACACTAATGTTGTGTATAAATAAAGAGAAAATCAACTAGTTTGCCTTTGAAAGATGACTTACACTGTTACACATTAATTTTGGTAATCAACTGTTGTTTGCATCACTTCAACACACAAATAGTCATTCTCTCATTCTCACGAAATTTAGTTGTTTTCTCACTCCACTGAGTCCGAATCAACATTTTCTTCATGTGCGTACCCGTGTAAATGTACCATCACAGGATAAAAACATTGAATCTGTCCCAACAGAGTGACAAAAGTGATTTGGTGCAAAAATAGTGATTTGATGAATAATTAATAGCTGCCATAAACTTCCCTAGCATCCATGGAAGAGCACATACTAGGAGTATAAAACTGATAGAGAACTGCAACAACGGTGAGCTTATCTCCTGGCTTCAGTGATAATCCTTCAAGGACCAACGAAAGACTCTTGGATTGACATCTTTAGATGCATCCAGGACGACCACCACCCTCTTTCCTTCCATACTTTTACAATTTCAAGCTCTGTATTGCTATGGAACAGAAAAGTTGGTTCAGGGAAGAATATATGAAGAAGAGGATACAAGGAACTACCAACATGGGAGATATAGCTTATTCATCCAAGTGAGACATTTTGTCGAATACAGGAGCTTCAAAAGAGCCCTTCTGTCATCAACTTCCCAGACATTGCAAAGCCATTCTATATAAATACTGTAACCCTTGAATATTCCGCATTTTGGGAACCTGATGAAAAATCCAGTAATCTTCTTGCTGTCTCTTTATAAAAACCCATTATTTTAAAGCTCAGATTGGTCCGAGGCATACTTGTAATTGGTTTTCATGTCTTAGCTGAAATTCTTGCGATTGATAATATCCAAGCTAAGGTTAAACTTGTTCATCATCCCTTTGAAACTATCCCCAAAGAGGACAAAGGAATTTCTCAAACTTCGGAGAAAATCAGGGAAATGTTCTTCGGTGCGCAACGAGATTACAAGGCCTCCGGCTGGCTGCTGCATTGTGGGCAGCCGCCTTTAGCCTCGTGGACTTGCCTTCGGTCGTCCAGTTTCATGCCACAACGTGGTGTTCTTCGCAAAAGACAAGAATACGCGACAAAGATCCCAAGCATGTCTCTATTTGTTGAGATGATAATGAACCTTGAAATTCTCTTCTTTCTTCTTTTCCCACCATTTTCCTGCATACCGCGCTGGACAACGAGCTTTGACCAGTGAAACAAATTTTTGACATAGACATAGATGCAGATAGCATGGTCTCTATGCTAACAAAATGTCTGTTCATATTTTTATATTTTTATTGGTCTACTGGTTCTCGTTGATCATCATTCATCAAGCTTATTTTGATGGAAATGAGAACATTTGAATCAATAACAAGTTTAGATTTTGATGATAATGTATCAGGCCTACCAATAACATCCTCGTATATTAGGAGTAGACTTAAACTCGCAACTCTATGAGTTATAAATTAAATATTTATTAATGGGACCAACTTTTATTGGTTGTTCTTGTTTGTTTTGGTAAAAAAAATTTTATAAATGCTATATTTTATAAATCCTTTTTCACCCAAAAAAATAATAATTTATTTATCACATAATTTTGTTTGTTGGTTTTTCATAATGTAATGAATCAAGTTATATAACTTCATTAAGATATTCACATTTAATACTTAATGATATATTGAACAAGACTATCTCCAATAAAAAATAACATGTGATGTGAGCAATCAAAAGATTCTCACTTTGAGCAATACTTCTTTTTTCGCGATAAAAACTTACGCATAGCTTGATATGAGGAAACCAATGCATGACATTTGAATAAAAACATAAGAATAAATGGACTCGTTTCAAACTGCTTTTACTCTATTGTTATTGTTGCAAGAAATGATGTTTTGTAAAATATATTTTAAAATAAAAAAATATTTTTTACATTCTCTTTTATTCTTTAAAATAATAATTTCAAATTACTTAAAAGATATTTTTATCTTTCTATTCTTCATAATAATTTTTTTCTTTAAAACACTTTTTAAAAATATATTATCAAATAAATTTTTTCTTTTATTTTGAAGAACAAAAAATTATTTTTAAAATAGGTTGCTAAACAAGCCCAATATCTTTTTGAGTTTAATTATATTCCTCCTAGTCTTTCAAAATGTTAACTTAACCTATTATTTTATGATGTTCTAATGCAAGGTATTTGAATTATATCTTCTCTTCTTTTGTATTTTTTTTTTTACAAGCATTTTCTTGTTTTCTTCTCTTAAGTCTTGTATTGTGAATAAAGGTTGAATCTAGTAAAAAAAAAATAATTCGGCTCTTAGAATATGATAAACTAATATTTAAATCTTTTATAGAAGTGTATACATTTAATATTGAGTTGTATCTTAAACATAAGATTACTTCTAATATAAGAACACTTGTATATAATAATAAAAAAAAATTAAAGATTATTTTTACCTCTCAATTGTACATAAAAGATTACAGAAGACTATCAACTCAACTTGGAACCAAATTTACCTCCTAACATTAAAAATTTGTTTTTGGTACTTTTGATGTTCTTTGCCAGTTATGTAAGTTTTATATTTAAATTTTTTTAATATTTTTATTAATCCTACCATTTTTTATATTTTAGGATTTCAATGACTTTTTACATATAATTAAAAAAAATAATATTTAACTCATAAAAAATAGTGATTCAAACTGAATTCAAAAAATTGAATCTAATGAAAGTAATCTCAGTCCCGCAAAACTTAATTAATTAAAATTCAAATTTCTGTATATATTAAATGCTCCGCAATGATTTCAATGGAATCTTTATAAAAGATATGCCCAAAATTCAACCCTGAGGGGGCAAAAAATTGCTTGGGATATGGGATTCCGTAAGGTTGTCTTAGAATCTGATGCAAAAGATCTTATTCAGAGAATTTATGGTCATTGTCTAGTCAGAAGCTGTTCTAATCTGGTGTTTCTGGAAATTGTGAATATGAAAGAATTCACGTGGGAGCTTCAATACTCTGTCCTTTATCATATGCAGGGCAGTGTGGAGAAGTTTTAAAGCCTAGAACGAAATTATTTAAGGTGTCTACTACGTTATAATTTATCTATCTTCATATTATTTTTCTAACTTTATTGAATTGTAAAATCAAATATCAAAATTTTGTGATCAAGTAATTCTAATATTTTAATTTCAATAGATAATTTAGCTTATTCATTTAATCTATTTTATAACATGGTTGTTTTTAAATAATATTTAAAAAATTTTAATTTCAAAAAACTTCTTTTAGTAGTAGCAATTGTCTTTAGTATTATAAAATAAAAAGTGAAAAAAAAAAACAATTGTTTTTCCCCCCAAATTAGATAGCAAGCAAAAAACTCTAACAAGCAAATAAAAGGATTTGGCATGGCCAATGGCGGCACTAAGCAAATCAACAAAGTAACAATGTAAACATAGTTGAGCAACATCAACATTCAACCGAAGCAATGTTTTTTTTTTTTTAAATAAGAACGTGACGTCAATGACAGAAAATGATTCAATTGAGAGAGGAGGATGATTAATTGATATTGGGAAATGGAAGTGATAAATACAATGAAATGTGAGGCAATAAATTTTTAATGAGAAAATGTAATTAACATTAATATTTAATATAAAAAAGGATTAATAAGCAAATGTTAGTATAAGCTAGCAATAAATTATTAATAAAAATATATAATTAACATCAATAATTAACCAGAAAATTAATAACTAGTTTTACAAGATACAAACAATATTTTTTGAGATCTAAGTCAGTGAACTTTAATGGCCTTACATCAAAAAAACCCCTGATCATATGACCCCCCAATTTCTAAGAGTCCTAGTGCAGAACGAGATGTTGGGAACTAGTTGCCCTTCTATTTAGTCTGTTAATTTAATTTTAGACTTTGTTCCTTCTTTGTATAAAAAAAAACAAAAAGAAAAAAATTTAAATCTCATTTAGTTACTAAAAAGGAATATAATAAAATGGATTAAAAAATAAATATAAAAATAAACTAAATCACCCGTTTTTTTAATATTAAACATGATAAAACTCGTTAATATGTACTACAAATGTGAAAATTACCGCACCCTCCAAAAATCTTGTCAATCATTACTCCCAACTCCATAAATTAAATTATCTCTCTTATTTATAAATGTGTTTACTATTCTTTTTTATCATATCATTTTTTACATTTATTTTTTTAATTCATTCAATTTTATATTTTCTAGTAACTAAACATAAGGTTATACTCAATCAAAAAATAATAATGATTGCATCGTGTGATAAAGAATCCAACACTTTTTAAATAGTCTCAAGTTGAGATTTGTAAACGAACAAAACTAGCTTTTCCCCTAACTGGGGCCAACCAAATTCAGATTTTAATTGGTCGATAGATATCTAATAGTTTGTTGCAAAGAGTATAACATAGTCATTCACATATTAAAATAAATTTTTTTAGAGAAATTCTTGTTTCATGATCTTATAAAATTAGCATGATTAAAACTCAAATTTATAATGATACATGTGTAACCCACCACAAAGTGTATTAGTGTATATATGCTTAAATTTAACACTACTCTAATACATTGGATTTATAAAAATATGAATTAAGTAATTTTTTTTTCTTTTAGGGGCTAATTCAACATTGCATACAACACAAGAACAAAGAAATAGAGAGTTGGCCAAGTGGTTTAGTTGTCTTCTAGTCCTTATCAATCATTGTGGCCTTTTGTTCACGTTTAACATCATAATAAAGTCATACTTTAAAAAAAAAACGTCTAATTCATAAAATTGACAGTTTGTTAATAAAACAATGACTGTAAAAATATTAAAAATTAATTTTCCAATAAGAAATATAAAAATAATATATAATTTTTTTTAAAATATTACTTATATCCTCTAAAATTATAATTTGACTTTTTACAAATCTTTTTATAACATTAAAAAAATCCACTTATAATTATGAATTTAGAAAACATTAGTGATAATTGTATAAAGTACAAATTGTATCGTATTTTTATACTTGTGAAGAAAATATAATTTGAAAAAACATTTATTTACTAATTTTATAAATTCTCAACCCGCATATGTCATTTTTCTTACAATTAATTAGTCTTGGTTCATTCTAAGCCCTGACTTGTCTGAACTATCCTAGGAAGATTTTGGAGAAATGTTTGATGCAAAGGGGCTGAAGAAAAATAATATAATAACTGAAATTTTGTCTTCATTATAATTAGGGATGTATGGCCAGATTAAATTTTGAAGTTGACATGACAAAACTATTTTTTATCGTGTGAGTAAATTAGAAAAATATATAGAGACGTTTAAGTTCAGAAATCAATGTCCCAATTAAGATAAATTTGAAAGTGAAATTAATGTGAGTTAGTTAAATGT